CTAGAGAGATAACGAGAACACGTAGCGAAATAGTAGCGAAATTTTCGACATTGCTGCATAACACCATTTTGTTAACCCGTTTGTACAGAAGAGGCGAAACGCAGCGATCGCAAGAAGAAGATGACTACTTGCCTGGGAAACAATCCAGCGAAAAATGCGCTCGACGCGGAGGACATCGGAAGACGGCAAGCGATACCTGTCATTCATACCAGAGGAACTCATTACGACGTTGGCTTCGATATCGTAAGAATTCAATCCTTTTTCCCGGGATTCGTTTCCGTAATTACCGTATTTCACATTCGCGGCTGTTCGAGCTCGTGTTAATTATGCTAATCTAATAGGCGCGCTTTGTACCTTTACGGAAACAGTGTACGGGAGGAAAAAACTTGTTCGGAAACAAAACGGTCAGTTACATAAGTCTCGCGGAAAAACCAAGATAATCGCAATGATTACTATTGTATTTGATGGAAAGAAACAAAAGAAAAAACACACGCGCGCACAAATATGGACTCGATCGCTATTTTCTTTCCGTTTCCGATCGATATTATTATACCGATACACGCGTACGTACTTACACATTTATCTGTACTACATACTTATACGGTACGATAACGCCGATTTTTTCCTTCGAGTTTTCTACTTGTGCTAACGCGCGCGAACCTTTGCCAATCGGTCAATTACACGTGTAAGCATTTATGTATACTATTTCTACACTATATGTATATACTGATGCGCGTATTCTATACAGCGTATGTATGTGTAAAGATGGATCGGGGAGCTAGTCAACCAGGGGGTAGCTAATCCCCCGTCGTAACCAGAAAAGAATTTTTCCTTTTTTTCTTCTCTTCTGGACATACATATGTGTATGTATGGTAATACATTAAGGAGCGTTTGCCTTGAAATTGTCGGACAGATACCGACCGACGCGATACGGTTACCGGCCGCCCGTATCACCAAGCTAATTGGAAAAATCGCGCGGCGAAACGCGCATCGTTCTCAGCCGTAAATCATTCTCGCGCCTCTGTTTCCTCCGATCATGTTATGTAACCTTTGTTACATAAGATTATGAAACATCAGCCGCGATATATAGTTCGTGAAAATAATACTCACATGCGCGTGTAGTTTTTACGATGCGCGTCCAACTGAACGCGAAATACGATATACATATTTCCGATCTCTCCTTTCAACCAACACCACCGAATCACCGGTGAAATCGTGCTAGACGAGGGCCTACCAGGTGGGTCGGTGGGTTGTGGGTGATGAGGAAAAGGAAAATTTTCTCGCTGAAAAGAGACCGCATAGGCCACGCCTTTATGCTTCTCTAACAGAGATTTTTTTTTTTTCATCAGGGGCGCACATTCTCCGGTCTGATTCAAGACTTCTTGGACACCTATAAACCGCTCAATGAAACCTATTTACCGCTTTACAAGACCGAAGCAGGCAACAAGGTATACCAGGAGACTCTTGCCTGCGTGGAAGAGCAATTTCCCGGATATCTTAAGGAAATTCGAGGAACAGCTGACGGAGCGAACGTTCCTTTTCACAAGGTAACGACAACGCCTCTGTCACCAATGTCACCCGCGATCAATTTCAATTCTTCCTTTCCTTTCGCAGTTGTTCCTCATGCATTTAGACGACATCGTGCCAAACGTAGCGAACGAAGGTGCACAAGGGAACACGTTACCGGTTGGTTGTTCGACAATCATGTGCAATCAGCCAGGACAGGTAAGTGGTAGTGTGGTCGTAGCGTGGTGGTGGTCACGGCGGCCGCGCCGACCAACTTTCGAGGAGAACTTGTTATTTATACAGTCCTCATGGCATACAAATTTACGTAATTCGCCTTTCGCAAACCTACCAAACATATTATATTAATCCTGTATGTAATTTATCCATTATCGGAATAGATATCACAGCTGTGACATTTTCCGTCTCGATCTTCACTCTGTCCAATCATTTCCTCTTCTTTCGAAACAGGAAATTTTGGGGCACAACGAGGATGCACTTAGCGAAACCTTGAATCACTGGTACTTGGTTTCTGCACACGTGTTAGAGCCAGGATGCAACGAGGAGATTTTCACGTCTTTGAGTTATGCCGGATTCTTACCAGGCTACACGATGGGTTACAATTGTCACGGTCTCGTTTATACTATCAACACGCTTAGCGCCGCAACCTTGAGGTCCGGTAAAACGCGTAAGTATCGTAAATTCGTGTACCCCCACCACCACCGCCTATATTTTCATCATTTTCTTTTCGTTCGTACAGCCAGATACTTTCTAACCCGAGCACTCTTAGCAGCCGAGAATTACGTGCAAGCTCAGCAAATTTTGCGTAACCAAGGTTACGGCGCTGCAGAAGGATTTTCGGTAAATATGACCTTCTTAACGCAACAAGGGGACAGAATGTTTCATAATGCCGAAATAGGTCCTTGCGAGAACGAGGACGCGCAGTCGCAAATCAGCATTCTGACCATTAGCCCTGGAGAAAATACCGTTCACTGTAACAAGTGAGTTACCAACTACTACCTCGTTTCCCTTTACTTTTCTCCTTCATCCACCTACCCTTCGCGTCCTTCTTTCTATCTGAACTCGGTTCACAGGTATCTACGATTGAAGGTCGCAGAAGTCGAGGGTCTTATCGTAGATAGTAGCGAGAAAAGAATGAATGCCATTTGTAACCATCCTCCTGCTAAATCTCGCCAAGATGTTTTAAACATTCTAAGCGATCAAACGGACGACCAGTATAGAGTCTATCAGGAGATCAACAAAGAAGATCGTGTGAAAACTATAGCCACCGGTATTTATTCCCCTTTCCATATCAGTTTACCGCAACTATCGTTACCCTCCACCTACCTCCTCTACTATTCCAATCTAGTATCTAGCCAATAATCAATATTATTTTATATTTATATAGGGATCTTCGACTGTGTCGAAAGGACCTGGTCCATCTACACGGACAAACCAAACTCTGTGGAACCGCTATTGGTGATACCTTTACGATTACGAAACGAATCGACGGCAACTTCTGCTACGTAAACACGTTACACCTACCACACGATCAGACCACTTCCTTCGTTCGATTTTATTTATTATTCCTTTCATTCAATAAACCCACCACACTCAGCCTCCCTTCGCCCTATTCATTCCTCTTTCCTGCTAGGAACATCTATCGTACGTACTTCGAGTTTTCTTAACAAACTTTCCTTCCTTCCTTGCTATTCGTTAGGCAAAATCACACGGATATCAAAATTATCACACCGAATCTGTTCGACAACGGATCAAGGTGAAAAATTTCCTCCTCCTCCTCCTCCTCCTCCTCCTCCTCCTCCTCCTCGTCACTTCTCATTTCTTTTTCTGCCGCAAACAGTTACAATTTATTAGAAGCTACATTTAATTTGAAAAGTATCAGATCCCGTGTCACGTAAACTTTTCCGAATAAACGAAACATACACAAACACAAAATGCTAGCGAGCAACCACCTTCTCTCAACGACAATATGTAGGTATCACAACTTTTGGCCGCTTCTTCGATTCCATTTCCGAGAAGAATTCCTTTATATCTTCTTCTCGTACAACTTTTTTATTTTCAGCAAATTTTTGCAAGTACTGTTTTAACCGCTCCTTCATGTTATTGTATTCTGTAAACAATACACCATGTACCAAAGTATTAACGAATAAAGGAGAAATTATTGACCAAATTGAAAAAGACTACTCATTCGGTTATTCGGAATATCGTTAAGAATTTTACCTTACCTTCGATTGCGGTCAACTGTTCCACGCGACCCAACGATGCAAGGGCTTTCATACCCTTCTCGTATTGCGATTCTCGACTGTTCGTTTTGCCCGCTTCCTCATAAGCATGTACACTGTCCGTTGGATCAAGAAGGAATGTGATATTTTTCTCTCGATAAACCTACAACCGTACAAATTTCTTCCGTGTACTTTTACCCAATCGGCTATAAAAATCCTATATTGATCTGAAACGAAGAAACTCTACCTCTTTGCAAGATTCGCAAGTACATAGCGCGGCTCTCCATCCTTCCGTCCAGAAACAACTTCCTCGCGATGAAATCTTTTTAGTAGCATTCTTATGTGGCATTGTACATTCCTCCTTCGACTGATTTTCAACATCGATCGTTTCACCTTCTTTATCCCCGGAAGAAACTTCGCTCCCTGCTGCAAAAGCTGTCATTATTTCCAATTATCACGTGCGCCATCACAGTCAGCAGAACGATCCAGGTAATCCAACGCAAAATCATTGCTACTCACCCGTGTATTTGTTTGCATAATTCCAAAGGAAATCATTCTTTCTCATACATCCGGCACAAATCATCTCGTTGTATGCTCCATCCGCTGGCATTTCCTTTTCGCATTCCAAGTGCTGGCGATAACACATGGTTATGATTAATCTACAAAATCTTCAAACGATTAACGCACACGTGCACATATTTACCTTGGAATGATACCAGTCCTCGCAGATTACACACTGCAACATTTCGTCGTTTACAGTATCCTCTGGATCCGGATACGGTCTCTTGCAAGTGCAGTAAAGACCGTCGAAATTATGATTATACTGATTTTCCACGTTTATCGAATCCTTAGACTGTCAAACCAAACGTCCAATCAGGACCAAAAAGAGCAAAGAATAAAGCTAACAAGGGAGATGAAATAGCATACATACAGGGTCCAAGTTACACTTTTTCTCTCCAAACTTTGGATTACCACAATCGCATCTAAAATGCCTTTTGGTATATAATTCAATCAGTTCGTGACCTTCGTGGCAATGAAAACTGCAAGCAAGGCAAACTGCTGCCCGAACTGATTTTTGGCAACAAGTTTTACACGCGTAAAGGGCTTGCCGTGTATACCCCTGAAAAAGTCAGATGATTCAGCTACAATCGAATTTCATTCCAACGAGGTTAGTGCAAGCACAGTAAAACCTTGTTATAAGTGCAATTTTTGTCATCGGACGCGCCTAGCACCGCATACGCGTCTTCCTCTAATTGATTCTCTTCTCGAAGGACATCCAACATTGTAACGGAATTTTCTTCTTCGATCATTTCCTCGATATTTTCAGACATTCTGTCGTTGACACGTTTATATACAGAACCAAATTAATTTCCTTAACCTTGCCAACCACGTATTGAAAATCTGAAATCAAGATAATCGTCACTTTTATTTGTCACCCGTTCTCCTTCGTACAAAAACCTACGTACGTATGTACATAAGTACATATTTAATGCTTCGAAACGAAGGAAAAGAAAAAAAAGGAGGGGGGAAAAACAAAAAAAAAAACACAACAAACGAAAAATTAGATTCCTTGTTAATTGAAAGTAATCAGCAACGTTCCGTTTCGTACCTATGAAACGAGTAATTCACGACCAAAAACGTTTCCTCCGAAATAACACCAACAATGTCATGTGACGCTACGCGTCCCTTAGCGCGGCTTCTTCTCACTGTTATATTATGTGCAACTGTTACATTACGCGACGATAGCGCTCCTCTTATGTGTATGTACTATAGAAACGACAGGCTGCACACGTATGTACGTCTTTACTTTATCATTCGACCACGAAAAATCCTTAATCGTTAAATAGTTAAATACGTCTCTTTCCTACTGTCTTTACCGATCGTTAACAATAAAAAACATAACAGTACACGGTGCACCGTACAATTTTTCTGAATGTGTAATTTTTAATTGGTTAAAGTCAATTCAAATTTATCTTTCTTCTATACGTTTACATTTATAAGTAGTCCGCAAATAAACCATGTGTAATGCGGTTTATATTCTATTTCACGTTATATATACACGATATATGTATGTATATTTATATAAATATATATGATCTACACAGAGTACAGATGAAGCTAGATGAACGAACCTACCTTACATCATCTTGTACGTATGATGTTGGTAAAAGTCGAGAGATGGCAGGCACGATCATTAGCTTTGCTTTTCGCGCCTTAATTATGCCTAACCTGTCTTAAATACACACACAGCATTCCAGCTTTTTTCCAAGAAAAAGCAAAGGTTTCTTCCATCCGCAGAGCAGTTGGATCTTTTTTATCATTATTACGGCAATTTCTCGGAATCACGAGTAATGGAGGAAGTAACCAAATGCAGATACATCGATTGTGTCGACACTCGGGAAAAGGAACAAATACTTCACGAACTTCCCGTTTGTGATACCGGTCTCTGTGTGAAGTGGTTGATCAACAGTGGTCACGTGGATCTAATTGGAAGTGATCTCGACGCTCTACGATCTATGAAATTTTTTCTGTGTAACAATCATTTTACGGAGGATTGCTACCTTAGTAAAGGCACCCTAAAGGAAAATGCAGTTCCTTCACCACATTGGAGTTCTGTTTCGCGAACATTGAGAACTTTGAAGACACGACGGGTAGATATTTTCCACATTATCCATAAACTTTTCCTTCTTCTATCGCTTATACCAAACGCAGAACCCCTTTACCATTATTGGTTATAACGTCAAACATTTTACATAAAACTTTCCACAAAAATGAAAGTTTACATGTGTGAACTTTGAAAAGTTATATTTTGTACATACATACGTATATATATATATATATATATATGTTTTTTTTTCGTTAATTTTCAGAAAATTCAATTAAACGGTCAAGAAAGTTCTATGGAGGAAGTAGCGACCAATCAGCTCATTGAGAAGAATGCCCCTTCTGAATTTGAAGTTGATCAATGGTGTAGAACATGCGCGACTAAGAAACAGAACCTTGTAAGTATGATGACCAAGGGAAAAGGCACAGATATGAGCCTTCTATCAAAATTGAAACTCTTGATAGAGATCGACGATGAAGATGCTTTACCAACAAAGATGTGCGACGAATGTGTGGATAAGTTGGAACAGTCTTTCAAGTTTTTTCAACAGATTTACGTAGCAGACAATACATTGCGTCATGTGTTTCCAAGTACACGATCAAGTAACACACCCAGAAAGCCTCTTTATTCGATCGGCGAGCACATGAGAAAGGAACAAAGGGAAAAGGAGAAGGAGAAGGAAAAAGAGAAAGAGAAAGAGGAGGAGCAGCAGCAGCCTCAAGCTGCACCAAAAGTGTCTCGTGGTATATTCAGACGAGGTCGAGGTAGACCCCGTACCAGGGGATATGCTGCAAGGGCAAGAGCGAGACAAAAATCTGCTCAGATGCAAGTACGGGTACCAAGCCCCAACCTAAATGATAACGCGGTGCACATCAATAGAGTAAACGAAACGACAGTGTCAAAGAACGAGTTTAAAAACACGTTGATACACGAGGAAGAAAAACCAGTAGGTATTACAGTGTTTTCGTTACTAACTGATACGTGTCACAGCGACGAAGAACTCGACTGGTCGGATGTGTTGAAAGTGATGAACGATCAAAGATATGGAACAGTTTCCAGACAAGAGGCAGAGAGAAAGATAGAGGAAAAAGTAGAAACGAAAGCGAAATCGGAGGTACAAGAGGTGAGCGAAAAGCCGCGGAAGGAAACGTCGTTGAAAACGGAGTTGGCGATGGTAGTAGGAACAGAAGCGACAGAAACGTCCATAGAGAAAGGAAAGGTGGAAACGGAAATACAAAGTAAGATAGAGGTAGAAGGGGCGGATCCTGGAGAAGAGATAACGGCAGCGATGTCAGAGAACGAACTTGGACAAATAGGTTGTGACAAATTTTACGACGAGTCGTTCAAACTAAGACGTCAGTTACAAACACGTTTATCGACCGATCATTCCCAAGTATCCGGTCATGTGTGTACAGATTGTCTAACGTGTTACGAAACTGAGTCATTACTTTTCAAACATCGTGCTCTACGGCATGGAGAGCGAAGATATCGGTGCGAACATTGCAAGGAAGAATTTGTCGAGAAAAAAACACTGAGAGAGCATGTGAACAAATGCCAATCGCACGATACTATACTGTATTATTCGTGCGATTCGTGCGGTGTGCAACTTGCTTCGAAACAAACTCTGATCGAGCACATGAAAACTCATCCGGAAAATTCGTCGTTCCATCCGCCGCTGGCGTCACCGGCTGCTGCCGAAGATTCAAAAAAAGCCGAAAACGAGTCACCGCCGACTTCTTCATCGATTCCATCAAAATCGGAACTCGAACCCGAATGTTCTCCCGTTACATATTCGAGTATGGTCGCAACTTCAGAATCAAATCCGGATGAAAAGAGTAGTATCGGCGTCGTAGCCGACACAACTGATAGAGCTAACGTAGCAGAGGAGGAGCAACACCGGCAAACGGGTGAAGAAGAGTCGGCAGCAATTACGTGTCCGGATTGCAACGAACAGATGCAGAATACGGTAGAACTCAGTATTCACCGAATGCGTCGTCATTCCATGAACAGGAAAGATGCAACGTGCCTTCTATGCGACAGCAAATCCTTTCCCTCGTTGGAAGAATACGAACAGCACGTGCTCGATCATTGCAAACGACTAAGAATATCACCATGATAAAATCAGTTGTTCTTTATTACGGTATTGTGTTACGTATAGAGACGATTGTCCGTTTCTGTTCGTTAATATTGGCAGATACAATATGCTTGTTGGATTCACCAGAGGTCTAGAATATTGATATCAGGGAAAATTAATGTTAAGCTAGGGGTACCAAAATTAATCCTTCTATTGAAATATTGGCGCAGTGTGCATGTTTCTGTCAAATCTTCAACATCTCCTATTATATGAACGAATAAGGAATATATTTTGATTCAGCCGATTAAATGTATTTAAATAATCTATTAAGAGGGAAGAATATGTATGTATGATGCATGTATGTATGTAGGTATGCGTGTTTAAATTGATCGAGTAAACAACAGTGTTTTTATTTTGTTTGTTTGTTCGTTCGTTCGTTCATTTATTCATTCATTCATTCATTCATTCATTCATTCCTACGTTCGTTCGCCATATTCAATAAATTGTATAAAAAAGTACAAAATTCCAAGGATAAAGGCAACAACAACACAATAGTTCGCATTCGTAACAACGACGACGACGACGATCGCAACGACAACAACACGATTTTCTTAACGTAGAGGAGAAGAAATGCATCAGTGATAATACGCAATAGGTAGATACGAGGCGTATGTTAAATTCGTTGATTTAAAAAAATGCTCTACACGCTTCGTATAACAGGCAAATAGTGTGAAGGTCGGCTCAACATACGCACAAATATTTATGTAAACAACAAAACGCATCGTGCAGGATGCGAGACATACGAATGCGATCCACCAAACATTCGCGACAGCGAATGCAACAGCGTGTTGTCGCGATTGTTGTTTATTACGTATTTACAGTCAGCCGAATTCGGCCGGAATCTTTTAAAGTTGTTCATCAATAAATTATATACATACATACAAACATCTCCCCCACCCCCTCTTCGCGCGCGCGCGCGCGTGTGTGTGTGTGTGTGTGTGTGTGTTTGCGAACGATGCTGATTCAAGAATAAAAACTACTATTTCGATCCTGGCTAGATTTTGAGCGATGAGCACGGCGGTCGATAAACGCAATCATTCGGGAAGAAGGGATCGTCGCGCCAATAGATATCTGAAAGGAAAGATTACGTATTATACATAAATGAGAATGGGTATCGGTATTCTTATCGTTCGAGGTTAGCAGTGGAATATAGAATTAGCGTAGCGTACGAAAAAAAAAAAGAAGACACTATAAATTTACGTTACCTTAAACCAAGGTGACGATAAAGAAAGTTGAGCGGTCGCTCTATCATCTCCGCGTAGACATAGCAGTCTTTCAAGAAGATGCTTCGCGTCACTCGATATCTCTCTGAAGTATTCGTCAGGAAAACAAAAATCGCATTTAAGTATATTCGCGGTGGTTTCCTCGATAGAATCGTCCAAGAAGGGTGAAAGGCCGCTGGAAAGTTTCACAAATGTATAATTAACTGGTAAGTATCTTCCCTCCCGTGGTGTACGTCGCGTGATTCATCGTTATTAATTAGGATGACGAAGAAGTTTTGGTAAACGGCGATATGTACCTAAGAAGCACGTAAAGGAAAACTCCGGTAGCCCATATGTCTGTGTAGGATCCTGTCGGTTTACCGAGAACCGACTCCGGGGCTGCGAATTCCAAATCAACGGGAGGAACAACTTCGTCCAATGGTATCGCTCTAACAGCTTCACCGAAATCGATCAATTTCACGATATCGGTCTGGTTATCGATCAGAACGTTCTCCGGCTTCAAATCCAAGTGAGCTCGCTTACGGGAATGCAACCATTGCAACGCTGACAACAATTGACCGGTGTACCTTGCTATAGTCGCTTCCGTGTATTCAGTTTGTTCGCCAAGGTACGCGAACAACGTCGAACCGTTGACCCTGTAACGAGAGGCGTAAATCGCCGGTGGTATGAATATCAGGAACGATGATACGTACACGTGTAAGTCAAGAGGTAATAGGAAAGGGAAGAAAATCTACTGACAGCTCTAAAACGATAGTATCGATATCCGGTTCAGGTGTATCCTCGAAAAGTGCAAATGCTCCAACGATATTATCGTGACGAGTACTTCTGAGAAGATCGTATTCGGCACGGGTCAGTAGTAGCGGTTGTTTCGCTCGGTATATTTGCTTGAGCGCAATTTTTCGCTCGGATCCATTCTCCCTTGCACGATACACTTTAGCGAATCTACCACTCCCCAATTCTTCCAATTCAACATATTTTCCTATATACTGTTGTTGTTGTTGTTGCTCTTGGTGCTGTTCAGTTTCCGTTAGCCTTTTCTTCAAATTCGGGAGCATAACGATCATCGAAGATGTCTCCCCCGTCAATTCGTTCGACGATCGATTGTTTTCGATCGTGTCGTTCCAAGCGTTTGTTGTATCAATGCCTAAAAAAGAAGAGGACAAGAGTCTGGCGATTCACATAATATGGCGACAACAAAATCGAATAGACTTGAGACGTATCGTATGTCGTTTTTGTACAATAGATAGAATATAGAGTGACACGCGTGAGTATATGTATACTATTTACTTCGTGTGTGTGCGTGCGTGTATACATATGTATCATATGATATATGTATAATAAACGTAGTACAACGTACCTACGATACGAAGGGGAATTTTGGCCGAACAAGAACCCGTTTCATGTTCGACGCGACAGTGGTAAATCCCGGAATCAGAAGGAAGACAAGGAGCAATTTCGAGAGAAAGGGAATCGGCCGTTCGGAAAAGTCGATATCGATCGCCTTCCTCGATGTCACATCGTTGCCCCTCCTTTCTCCAAGAGACGATTGCGCGTTCCACGTGACGCGCTTCCAGCACGAGTCGAGCCACGCCACCGGCCGTCGCCCTGATCGAACACGGAATAGTCAAGATCACGGGAGGACCGTTCTCTTCCGCGTGCATATCCTGCGGAAGACGGACGCTCTCTCCCTCAGTATCGATTCTTCGCGGACGAAACGACCATGCGCGGCTGACCGACGAATTCGGAACGAGACTCGCCGGAATCCAGAATTCTTCCTTTTTCCCGACTACTGGCGAGACGATCAGTCCTGGACCGTCCACTCGGCCGATCTCCAACTCTTCGCCGGCGTGTAACTTGCCCCAATCCGCGGTTAATCTTACTCTGCTACCTGGAACGATCTACGGAATCTCCCAATTACTAACTCCACACCTCTCCGAATCCACTCATTCCCATTTTTCCCCGATCATCATGCAGCACTGGCTTCAACATCATCATCCTCAACCTCATCCCCATCCTCAAAATTCCTCTTTCGATTATCTTTCACACCCATCCATTATCATCATCGCTATATTCTCACTTTCACACACCAATCCCCCCCGCCGTTAGCGATGTACGCATCTGTAGCAGTTCCCTTTACTCGACTCATCTCGATACACCGTTAGAACAGAAAGCACTCCATGTATATTACGGCAGCCAACAGCAATAGTGGTCGAACGCTTAAAGAACCAGCTATAGTAATTGTTATATGTACTTATGTAGAGTAACACTTGAACAAATTACGAAATACTTAGCAGCACTGTGTAATAGCGAGAACCGATGTAATACCGATGCACGCAACGAAAATTATCGTTCAACCAGACAGAGACTAATAATGTTCTAAAAGAATAACGATACAACATAGATTAGTATCACAAATATAATAGGTTAATTAGCAACGGCGACACCGGTGATGACACCGATGTAAGTAACTGCTACGATTACAATAACGGCAACGACGACGACGACGACGACGACGAAGACGGTGGCGACGGCGGCGGCGACAAAGACAACGGCGATCGTAATACGATAAAAATGACGAGACAAGGAACGGTATCTACTGAGACGAAATATTTGAAAGTATTTCACTTTGCATAAAATATGTTGAAGATAATGTTCGTGTCGCTAACAAAATGAACAACATCGTTCAAGCCTGTACAATAAGCAGGAGCGGTAACGTTGTACACGTCGAGAGAAGAGATACTGGGTGGTATCAACGAGAAACGACGGATTTCATTTCCTTCGCGCAATTTACCTCTTACATGTGAATATGATAAAAAAGAAACTTTGTAACCGTACCAACGAAAATTTATACGATAGAGAGCGAATAGCAACAGGCATCAAGAAGAAGAGAAAGAAGAGTCCTTTTGCTGCAATTGCAAGAGTACTAATTACGAATAGGCAAATAGAATGGTATATGTAACTTTAGCAAGTAATAATAATTTCGGTATTGTTGCTCACCGGGATAGAGTTGTTGCGAACAGGTGATCGTGGTCGCAGGGTGCTCCTGAATCCCTCGAGAAAATTCAGTCTGCTTTTGCTAGGGCTAGGCGTTTGCGAAGAATCTTGATCCAAGCCTCCAACGGCGCGAGATCGTTGCGAAACCGATGTTGTTGCTGTTGCTACTGTTGTTGCTGTTGTTATAGCTGTGGTTGCTGCAGCAACTGTAGCGATTTCATTTCTCCTTTCTTCGTTCGTTTTAGACACGTTCGGTATCGTTGATGAAACCGTCGGAAGTACGCTTCCTCGACACGGAGATTCCGGACTCACGCCACGACTGTACGCCAGCAAATTATAAATGAAATTGAAACACGGTACTGCATCTATGAAATTACGCATTTCTCTCGCATCCAGATACATATACGATATTATATATACACACGCACGCACATGTGTACACGTGTGTATATTGTGTACGCCTATTATATTAAAAGCTGAATCAACGTTCAAACATTTTTATCCGTTCGCATACACCGGTCACACAGTACTTAATAAAATACGAAGCATTTTAAAATTGAAAATGTAAGCGTAAATGATCAATGCAGTACCATGTCCTCGTTGTAAACGATAAGAAAAAAACAAGCAGTTAGAAGGGTAAGTAGTGTTAAATAGGCGTGGGAAAAGGACGCATCACAATTAGAATGTTGACCAATGTACAATTTATTCTAAACAAAATGTTTACGTTTCTCAAGTCATTAATTTCACCTTATGTCATCATCTTAGAATGCACAGTTATGTACAGCATACTATCCCCCGCGTTCGTTCGATCTTGCATTTATAAACATTATTAAAATTATTATACATTTGCAGCGTTACGTCGTTAATAGGTAATAGTTGTTTTGGTGGGGGTGAGTCAGCACGTCAGGCATGCTCGCTGTCATGCGTTTTCGTTTATTGCGTCCAATGCTGATCGTTATTTTACATATGCACGGTTACTCGTGTACGTACATACAGATATACGTACACGTATATTTTTCTCCCCCCATGTGTCTGTGTGTGTATGTGTGTATTAATGTTAACGTTAACGTTGTTAACATACATATAGACGAAACCAATTGATACGTGCTCCCATGAGAGATAAAGATAGGAGAAAAATTATTCGAAACAAGAGGACACAACAACGTAATTTTTTGTCATGGTTTGATTCGTTGTATCGCAAATTTTGCACTTGGAGGTCTTGCAACAAAATCTGTCTCGCCCCCACCCCCTTCTTCCTTCCTTTCTCGCAAACGCCAGCGCGCGTGCGCGTTCAGCATACATACTCCGCCCGCACGCATACACACACGAGCGCGCAAAGTACATGCAGATCCGTGACGGACACGTGACTCACATAAACGGAAGCATGCAACAACACGCTCCTCTCCACTATTTTTGCTCTTCATCTTCAAACAACAACAACAACACATAAGAGAGCAGTGACGAGGATGTAGCCGATATCAGAGGATACATCTTATTACACCTACCCCCACCTGTGCAAACGTGTAAATACGTGGTCGACGAGAAATAAGGGACTGTTCCATAGTTTGTATCGTATCCTATCGCATCGTATCGTATCGTATCGTGTATCGTATAGTACTGTACGTGTAACGTAATTTCTAGTAGCGTACCGTATGGTAGTAACGTATGAAATGGTAATTGCCTTCTATATCATTGTGTTCGAACGAACGAGCGACCAACGGCAAACACGGTTCTAGAAATATTAAAATCTACTCCAAAGGAGGTAGGCAGCTATTGTAGAATATAATAGGAAACGTTCTCGAGATGAAGCAATAGCGAGGTAGATTCCTGAATTGCGATATTAAGGCAAACAAGAGGAGGACACGCCGCAACACGGTGAGAGAGTACTGTGCGTGTAAAGTGTGAATGAAGAAAGTATTGCGAGGTAAAGAGAACAGGTAGGAACAGAACGAAAGAGAAATGGATATAAAAACGGATCTCGGTATAGGAGACGCGACTACGGTACTCTAGCATACAGCGCTTCTGGTATCTCTTTTTATATAAAATATACAAAAATATCTCAGAACGAATCTTCGCGGGTCGAGCTTTAGGAAAGAGAAAGAGAGAGGAATGGAGAGAGAGAGAGAGAGAGAGAGAGAGAGAGAGAGAGAGAGAGAGAGAGAGTCAATGTAATCCTCTGTGTATGTCTGTCTGTCTGTGTGCGTGTGTGTTAAATAGAGTGACGCTTACAATGGATCTTTGGTAAGTTCCTTTTGGTAGGCAATTGGCGACTGTATCGCCTTGAGGAAGTCACGTTGAGTCTGCAGGATGGCAGTGATCGTGTCTACCCACTCCTGCTTTCGTGGCCCATTTTCTTCTACCGCGCTACAAGAGAATCCAAGGCCAGGTTTTCGGGGGTCGGTCGATCGAATGACAAATTTTTCCGGGTCGTCGTAACATTCTTCCAGGCTCATTTTATTCACCTGTGCGCAACATGAAACACATTCCTATCTTAAATATACCTATGTACATGATGTGCCTTACATCAACGCAAATCATGTTTTCCTTCTTCTTCCGTACTGCTAGTTAGCTGCCGAGTTAAAGAATCTCCCGGCACACGTCGGCAAAGTAAAAACTAGGGATAAATGGTCGCGTATGGAAGAAGAAGTGACAGTCGAGAAAACCGTCCAACAAGATTCATCACGATTATTCTTTACCTGTATATGGGCTTTGTAAATATAAGCGGGATTGGTAAATTGCGTCTTTTTTCCGACAGCCTCGCTAAAAATAATATTTTGCTCGAAGAGGAAAACTTGCCATTCTCTTCCTCTACTCGGTAAATTCGAAGATATTTCCGAGACTAAAAGTGGTCCATGCAACAATAATTTCCCCTGTGCTGTAATC